ATTCAGACATTTCAACATTAAAAAAATGTTTTGGTTCAGAATAACTTTTATGAAAAATGGTCTTCAATGTTATGTTTTAAAAATTAAAAGCATTTTAAAAGATCAAAATAAGATATTTGTTTTCAAATTTCTTTGTACTTTTTGAGTCCTTGAATTTTTTCAAATAGCTTTGGGGTCAACCCAATATGATTTTTTGCCCAATATCATAAAACAGCAGTAAACCAAAACCAAAACTACCCAGAATTTTGAATAGGTAATAGATCTAAAAAAAACAATAAAGAGTATTTTCTTCTATATGCTACAATATATGTAATTTCTACAACTTGTAACAGAAATAGGAATACTTTGCACTTTTTCTATACATATAAAATCAACCACAGATGCAAAACAAAGATACAAAGCTAAAAGAATACTTGAATTATACATCCAAAAAAGAAAATCACTAGTATGATAAAATGAACTAAAGCCAAAAAAAAAACAAAAAACCCCTAACAGTGGTTGAATGCCAACAATATTTTTGATAGAATCTAGTTTCTAATTGAAGATGAGAATAAAACAGATTTGGGAATGTCAATTGAACAATTTTTTTATATGTTTTTGATAATCCCCTGTTTTATAGACCAATGATACTCCTGTTTTATAAACTACTACCACTTTTATTTTTAATACAAAAAGAATTTTGTTTATCTATGATGACCAAATTGCAATTCTATGCAACATTATGTGGAAAAACTTTTGGACATAATCCTTCTTCAGAAGGAAGTATCATCAAAATACTTGATAATCGAAATGACAAAATCAGATAATCAGGATGACAAAAAGATACTAAGTGACCAGAACATAAAAAATGACTGGTAGAGCTTACCTTGTTAGCGCATAAGGAAAGTTGACTAAGACAGCATTTTAGATCAATATAGCATAGATGAATGTTGGATAATTCTGTCTTTCTGCAAATGTTCCTATATATCTGGTTTTCAGGAGTACTTCTCTTATGCTGCTCAGTTGAACAGCTTGCTTTATATCTCTGTAAAGATTTGTATAATGCACAGTATAAATTAAATCTTGTTATGTGAGTCTTAACGTTTCTTTACTGTTAAGTTATTTTCAATATGTGTCACCAAGTCTATATTTTTCAGTACTCAGCGGGAGTGCTTTCTGAACAGAATATGAAAGGTCAGTCGAGAGCCATACCAGATTAAAAGTAATATATTTAACTTCTTTGTATTACAAATACTGATCCTGTAAGTGACACACTCACTTCAGTCACAGGGTTACACCTGAAAGAGTTTTGAAAAGAGTCATTTACTTTTTTCTGTTTATTGGATTTGTTTCTATTTTTCTCAGTTTGGATAATAAAACCAGAGTTATTTGCAGTTCCAGGTTATCCTGACCTAACACAATCCTATATAAAATTTACTCTTACAACCTAAATTTGGAGCTCATTTTGTCCTGGTCTTTAACTGAAAGAGCAGTTTCCCTGATCATTTTCATGATATACTGTATAGCAGTAGCTCTGGATTTAAGTGTTTATGTTCAGACTCCAATAACTAAGCTGTGCTCTTTTTATAAGTGCTGAGGTATTACACTGTAAGTGCTGTATATTATCTAGTCCAGTGTGTTGTGGCACTGGGAGTAATTGGCCTAGACCCTCAAACTATTATTTGTGACTTGACTTTTCACAGCTGGAATAGCTATGGATTTGTTATTTGTAAAACATCCATGAATTTCACCACAGGCTTTTCGAGAAACATTGAAGCATCTGTGAATCAAACTGTTACCCAGCTGTTCATTCACAACCTGCAGGTTTTTCTAGCATGAAGTCCCTATTAATACTGATGGTTACACTGCACCCCGATGAGCTCTTACAGCATTGTTCTTCTCATACTACAGTTAAAGGCATTTATTCCAAACGAGAAAAACGGTGTTGATTCTTCCAATAAAAAGTTCTTGCCAGTGTTTGGAGTTACTGCCAGTGCTTTAGTGGCAACTATCCATGTTTAAATCTGCATCTTTTTTGCTTCATTTTTTTTTTACTATGTCCTCCTTTCCAGGCAGAAACACCCATGGTGATTTCCCACAGAAAGAATAGTGAAAATTTCCAATAGGAAGGTGGGGCGGGGGAGGACTGAAAAGCCATAAAGAATAAAAATAAATGCCAGACTAAAGTTATTTTAGAGCTTATCTTCAAAAGCACAATTGCTTCAGGAAACCTTAACAAGTAGCCTTATTAATAAAACCTAGGAGATTTTAATTTATTTTTACAGTGACATACATATTTTAGGCTTTAATTAAAAGCTCTTAGTGATAGTAATTTGAAGCATTGTACTTACTCACATTTTTTTTCAGAAACAAATTGCATTTATAAATCATTTGGTAAAGATTATTTCAGAGATTTTGCTTGGGAAATGGAAAAAAAAGAAAAGACTTTTATGGCCTTGAAAAAGAATAAGTGCTAGATCCACTTTTGATCTGTCTGCACACTCACAGAGAACTGCTTCATCTTTAAGACTGTATTGTTGGTTATTTAAAATTAACAGCAGGTGATACTAAAGTTTTGGAAGTTCAGATAAGCATCCAGAAGTTTAGAAGCTTATCCATATCTTATCTCAGTGTGACTGGTATTGAGCTGGAAATCATGTGACCAAACTTTCTTATAAGATTTCCAATACTTCAGCTAGTCCAGAAAAAGTACAAGAACAAACCATGTCATGGTAACATGGTTCTTATGCTCCCAGGAAATATGGAGCATATAAGGAATACAATTTTCCTGTTGCATAAAATGACCTCCGGATGAGACTTGTAGAAAAATTAACATATATATTATAAATCACAGAAAAAAGTATCTTATAATGGGAAGCATTAAACAGAGCAGGTAGCCCTTCTTCAGTTAGGGTACTAACATTTCCCATTATAAAACATTATTTTCAGTTGCTTATAACTTTGCCAAATTCTAACTTCAGATTATCCATATTGAGTCACTGCCTCAGGCTGAAGATATTTGAAAAGTGTCCGCATAAATGGTTCAGCCATTTCTGAGAATGTGATTAAGGAAAAATATGTTGTTATGCTCATGTTAAACAAAAAAAGTTCTTTGGCTCTTTCATTGACAAGTTTGAAAAAGGTGCATGAAATGTGGCAGCGTCTTTGGTCAGAAATGTGGGTATGCATAGTCATTTTATAGAGGCTCTGAACAGAATCCTGATCCTACTTATTTTATGGGATGTTTTGCCACTGACTTCAATGTGATCAGCATTTCACCCTCATTATTTAGAGGTGGAAAGAAAGTCATGTGTCTTTCTTTTCAGTCTGTTATCCCAATTACCACACACTCTTCAGGTGATGAAGTATAAAGGCACAGTAGTGATAGATATTTAAAATATTTCCTTACCCCTTGTTTCTGTACTCATGTGACACACTAATTCTAATAATGGATAAAAGGATACCTTTAATATAAGAAAAGACAAAAGAGATTGGATTAAAATCTTCTATGATATGTCCATTGAAATTATGAGTGACCAGTCTAGTAAACACTATACATATCGATTCTCAGAGAAACTTATTTAGAATTATAATCAGAAATAATAATAATGATTCACATCCAAAGGTCATACAGTTCTTTAGATAGATAATTAAACTTTATTAATTCAGTTTTACTAGTGGAAATACTGTTTGGGTGATGTGAAGAATTAGAATCATGTATTAAAGGATTGAGATTTGTTCTTTTTGGACTTTACCTGCTCTGGTTGCTGATGCCCAACTTTCACACAAATATGTTTCTTGTTATAGTTTAAGCTCTTTGTTGCTTCACGTTTCAGCCAGTGCTTGAGGTAAAGTTATGTTTTCACTTCTTGAAGATATGGATTCAAGAGATTCTTCCCGCTCCTACCTAACCCATCATTTGTGAATCATGGATTGTGGATTTAATAATTTCTATAGCTCCCACATCTTTATTAAACTTATCTGTGTTGCCTTCTGCAGATTCAGTTTTTGATGATGGAATAAAGTCAGAGAGCAGATTTTAGGCCTATCCTTGAAACTTTCTGAAAAAAAATGCCTACAATTCTAAAATCTGACATAGTTTTAATATCATTAACCTGGTTACTTCTGAAAATTATGCCTTCCTAATGTGATTTTACTTTAATTTTGGGATGTCATGATCCTGGCATTAGGATTACCTGGTTCAAGAGCAGGATACCGGTTATTTATTAGTAATCCAGGATTAGCTGGATTACTATTAAATAATAAAAGATGTAACAGTTTCTTCTCTTATTCTTCAGGATTGAAGGACTGATCCTGTGCCAACATTTGGTGAGGGAACATAGTAGTAATAATTAATATCTAATATTTATAGAGTACTTTTCACAAACACTTCACAAAGAAAGTAAGAATCAATATCCTCATTTCGCACATGCAGGAACTAAGAGACAGGGAGAAAAGTTATTTTTTTAGGTTCATCCAGCAGGCTAGTCAGTGGCAGACCCAGGAAGTCAGCACAGGTCTCCTGAATCCCGGTCTAGAATTACACTAGATTAAACTACACAATCTCCCATTATTACCATTCACCATTGTATGTGGGGACAGCTCCATTGATGTGACAGAATTTCACTTTGATTTGCAAACCATATTTTGATTTGAAGTGACACAAAGTTTGAGATAACATATGAACCAGGTTATTATTGGTTTTACTGTGTGTATTTGTTTTTTCCAATTGAGGGATGGCTTGTAGGGAGAAAGTAATCATTTAGGTTTCTTCTGCATGTTGTTGTTGTACATTATCACTACTTCCTTCAGTCAAGATCAACAAATAATCAATAATGATTGCGATGAGCTGAGTTTCTGCAGTTCTTTTCTCTTCTGAAGTATCATTTTACAAAATGTTTCCATATTACTCAGTGAATCAAAGCCAGAGAGCATTTCTGTTTACTCCTTTTAGAAGCTTAGGATACTTACAGAGACAGAAACATCATTTTGCAGGTATTCTTGGAAAAAAACCTGCCTATTAAGTCATTATTTGTACATTAGGAAGTTTTCCCCAGGTAGGCTTTATCATTTCAAGACATTTTGTTTTGTATGTTACTCCTTTTTTGTCTAATCACCTCTAAAATTATTAACACTCCAAGAACAATACATCCTGAGTAGCAAAACAGCTTGAAATATTAATAACTAAGAATGAAACTGGTAACACTCATAAACAATGTTGTTTGGAGACCCTTTTATTAATTTTTAATTTATTTTCAGTCAATTCCTTATTACTTCCAAATTCCTGTAGGGGATTCTGTTAATTAGTCATGTGTAAAATATTCATTAAAAACAGCTTCTTATTTTCTTCTTTTATTGCAAATTTACATTTCTAATCTTATAACCAAAATAAATGCCATTGGGTAGAGGAACTACATTAATTTTGATCAACCCCATTGAAACAGAAACCCACACATCAAAAATTATGGTAATGAAAAGCACAATAACATTGGGATACCATGTAAGCTGAAACAAGTGTACAAATGTCAAAATAATGTCTAACTGGTGCAATTAAAAATAACTTAGAGCAACATTATGAAAATATTATAAAGAACCCAGTTTGCTACCATTACTCATCTTAATACATTACTCTGCAAGTAGCACCACTCAAATTGATGAGAGTATTTGCATATTAAGATACTACTCAGCAAGAGTAAAGGTCCGCAGAATCAGGCCCAAAGAAAGTTTGTAAAGTCGCTGGAAATAAATTGCACTTTCAGAAAAAATAATGTTTTTCTTTTTTTCAAATTGTTAATTCTTACTTCAGTTTACCTAAAAATCAAGTGGCCGGTCTTGTGACTTAGTTAGTGGAATCTCTCTCAGAATATCTGGGCTCAGTTTTAGGTTTACTTACATTTCTCCTTGTTTTACACCGACTACACAATCTCTCTAGGCTTCAGCACCCCATCTGTAAAATTTGGATATTAATATTCCTTTCTCCCATTCTTTGTCAATCTTGGAAATTTAGGCC